AGGATATTGAGGTGAAGGAAGGAATTATGAGAGTAGTTCTCTTAAATTCCATCTCTGAATACTCATTTGGATGATTTGGTTTGGTTTTGTGTGACCCACACTTCATGAGGTAGGTAGTGACAGAGAGACTGTATTGTGTTGGTAAACAAACAGCAGACAGAGGGGTCCACAAAAGACCCCGTGCACCCAAAGGGAACGCCACTGTGGGTCTGGCCATTTGCTGAGTAAATCTGTAGCTGAAATGTTTGCAGTAGGTGGAGAGTGGAGGAGAATGCCTGGGCCAGTGATTGATTTTCTTCATTTTAGCTCCTTGTTAATGGAGCAAGGAATTAACAGGTCAGGGCGACAAGGGTGACCTACACTGCTGTACATAAAACCTCCTCATCCATTGGGGGGGGGCGGGGCTAGCTGCCTTCCCCTGGGGGTGTGAGCATCATGTCTACCAAGGGTATTAGAGTGTAGTGAAGTCTCCCTACAACCAGATTCTGTAGTAGGCTTTTGATATCAAAACTACATCTTCCATGCATGCAATTCTATTATCTCCAAGTGAAAGAGGCACAGAGGCTTGTGTTAGTTTTTGTTTTTGTTTTTTACAGCATGGCCTTGTAAATTTTTACCAGTCATTCACCAATTGGTCAGTCTCTTTTGAAAGCCCAAGTGTGCCACAACCTCATTACCTAGGCAACAGCTCTTCCTGACTCTTTCTTGCTAAGAGAACTGAGATGATGTTTATGGAAACATTATGCTCACCCCAGATGGATGACTCATGACTGGTCTAGGCTGTCCTAGAACTCCTAACCCCTTTCTGCATGTTTTCTTGTCTTCTTTGTAGCCATGGGACCCAACTCTATGAAGATACTAGCTGGCAAGTTTAGAAAGATATGCCTATGGAGGCTCCTCTTTGTGCAGACACACATTTAACTCTCTGTAGTTTGGAGCTAGTATGAAAATGTGCATGCTGAGACTGAGTCAGATGTTCGGCAACCACAGGGCAGCCAGCATGAGGAACGCATCATGCACAGAGTAAAGGACCGTGTGAACGGCAAGAGCCTGGGTCTCAGTACGCAGAAAACCAGTGAAATACTGACGAAGGATTGTAGAAGGCACAGATACATGGAAAAATATCCTATGTTCATGGATTAAAAGAGATCCTATTTAAAATGTCCATACTGTTCAAAGCAGGTGTGCAAATTCAATATAATCATCAACAAAAGTCCACTGTCATTTTTCATAGAACTAGAAAAACATCAGCCGGGCAGCTGTGGCTCACGCCTTTAATCCCAGCACTCGGGAGGCAGAGTCAGGTGGAGCTCTGTGAGTTCGAGGCCAGCCTGTCTACAGAGCGAGATCCAGGACAGGCACCAAAACTACACAGAGAAACCCTATCTCAACCCCCGCCCCCTCCCCACAAAAAAAAAAAAAAGGAACTAGAAAAAAAATCTAAAATTCATATGGAACCACAAATGACTCTAAATAGCCAAAGAAATATTAATGGGAAGAGGTTGGAAGCATTCTATTTTCTGATTATTATGCTTCAGATCTGTAGTAATTAAATAGTGCAGTGTGGCATAGTATGATACAGACACAGAAATCAGTGGTGCAGAATGGAGAGCCTAGACACCAGCCATGCATGTGGGACTGGGGAGATGGCTGAGTGGGTCATATGTTTGACTCACAGGCATCAGGACTAAGTTTGGATCCCTAGCACCCACTAAGTAAGTCAAGTCAAGTCAACTGTAGTGGTGTGTACCTCTAATCCCAGCACTGGGAGGTGGAAACAGGGGGCTGGTCCTAGAGACCCAGTGGTCAGACAGTCTAGCTGAACAATGAATTCCCAGTGAATTCCAGGTTTAATGAGAGCTCCTGTCTCAAAAAGTAAGGTGGAGCCAGGCTCTGTGGTACACACCTTTAATCTCATCACTCAGGAGGCAGAGGCAGGCAGATCAAGGCCTGTGAGTTCAAGGCCATCTGGGTCTAAGAGTGAGTTCCAGGACAGCCAGTGATACACAGAGAAAGCCTGTCTCAAAAAAAAAAATTTGTTTTAATGGGCAAAGGAGGGTGCTGGAGAGATGGCTCAGCAGTTGAGAGAGCTTGTTGCTCTTCCAGAGGACCTGGGTTCAATTCCCAGTACTGACATAGAGGCTCACAGCCATCTGTAACCTAGTTCCAGGGGATCCAGTGCCTTCTTTTAACCTCTTTAGGTACCAGGCATACATGTGGTACACAGACATGCATGTAGGCAAAATATTCATAAACTAAAATAAACATTTTTAAATAAGAAGTGGACATAGGTATTGAGTAGGCATTGCTCCAGTGCTGAGGCATAGTAGGGCATAAGTATGTGAAAAGGTGTTCAGGGAAGCCAGCCATCACTCAAATACATAAAAACCTTGAGACATCTCCACACAGTCGTTAACATGCCCTCATCAAAAGTCACAAGGTATGTAGAACAGGGAACCCCTGAACCCTGTGGGATATACATGAGCATAACCAGTTTGAAAACAGTATAAATGTTCCACAAAAAAGTAAAGGTACTGTATAATTAAGCAATCCTACTTTTGAATACAGACCCCAAAGAAATCAAACCAGTATCTCAATGTGAGCTCTACAGGCTCATGGTCTCGCAGCATTATTCACAAGGACTGCAGAAACAAAATCAATCCAAGTATTGCATTAGTCGGTTTCCCTTTACCTATAAAAACACCTGATAATCATCTATCAAGAGGAAAGATTTATAATATAATATAATAATCTGGCTTATGGTTTTAGAGGTGCTAGCTCCTGATCATGCAGACCTGTTGGCATTAGGTCTCTGGTAGAGATGCCAGATGGTAAAACTGCTCACTTCATGGTCAGTAAGGTAAAGGGAAGAAAAGGAGGCCAAGACCCACAATCCCCTTGGAGGGCTTCTCCCCCGGAACCTGACGGCCCTACCCTCTTAAAGGTTGCAGGATAAGGCAGTAGCGCTACCCTGCTGATGAAGCTTTTACACATGGGTCTGTAGAGGCCACTTAAGATCCAAACTATAGGGGATGGAGAGTTGGCTCAGTGTTTAAGAACATTTATTGCTCTTGTAGAGAACCCAGTGTTCCATTCCCAACATCCACATGGTGGTTCATGACCATCCATAACTCCAGTTCCAGGGGACCCACCACCCTCTTCTGACCTCCACGGACACCAGGCAGGCACATAGGTGGTACACATACATATATGCAGACAAAACATTTATATACATAAAATAAGTAAATCTAAAAAAGATCCAAATTATAGCAGACTCTACTGACTGATGAATTGATAAAGAAAATATACAGCAATATTGTTTAACCTTAAAAAGAAAGGAATCTGCCATTCCAACATGGAGGATGAATCATGAAAGCATTGTGTGGAGTGAAATAAACCAGACATAGAAATATAATACTACATAACCTCACTTATATACAGAATCCAAATAAAAAGTTGAGTTCATAGTAACCAACACCTCAATAGTGGTCATCAGGAACTGAGAGGTGAGAGGAAGTGGGAGATGTTGGTCAAACAGTAAAAACCTTTAGTTGCAAGATAAACACTAGAGACCTACTATGTACCGTGATGACCAATAATAATAACGATAATGTGTTGTTTACTTGAAATGTGCTGAGATCACAAGTGTTCTCATTACCACCAAAATAATAGCAAAGATAATGTAGATTATTACTTGATGGGACAGAGACAATCGTTAGCTTGGCCATGACATTTCATGAAGGTTGGAGTCTCTCTATGCTGCCCAAAGCTCACCTTGAGCACCAAGGCTCAAGTGATTCTCCTGCCTCACCCTCATGAGTACCTGGGACTTCAGTCACAATACCCATCTCAAACCTTTTGTTTTACATGCTAAATATATACAGTCTCACCAAAGCTTAGGTCCTTGTAGTACTGCCAAGCCCATCTTCCTGCAGGAAAGATACAAACAGCGCTCACTGCCTTTCCTGCTTGCAAACAGCATTCCCGGCACCGTCCCTGTTTCTACAGCCTGGCCAGAGCAGGTTAACTTCACTTGCCAGAGAGAGAGAGAAAGAGAGAGAGAGAGAGAGAGAGAGAGAGAGAGAGAGAGAGAGGGAGAGAGAGTCTCTACATACTTTACCTTGACCAATCTTACCTATTCAGATCAAAGTGTAGTCTGTATGTGAGAAGATCTGTTTCCAACAGAAATGTGTTAGAAATGTAAATGTTCAGACCCCCCACCACCACTGTGCTAAATTAGAAATGTCATCAGCAGTCTGGGACCTGTAAGCTCCCAAGAGAATCTAGTGCTGAAGAAGTTTTGAGAACCACTGATCTAGAGGGACAGAAACACATGGACACTTAACAAGCTTCCCATCTTCCATCCTTGAGTTCGGCTTGACATCTTTGCAGAGTAGCCTATGAATTTATATTTCCCAGTGGGTCAGAGGTAAAGGGAACCGGTGAAATAGGCATACCATTTAATGTAAGGATGAAGAGTGAACTGCGACCTCTGAGGACAGGTGAGCTGAATTGAGGTGTTTGTCATGTGGTAGGTAAGAAACTAGCTGGTCTCAGAAGCCCTTTTAACCCCAGATCCTGAGGACAGCAGAGTAGCTGTAACCATCAAACATGACATTGGTCAATAACACACGACCAACAAGTAGAAGCATCTAGAATTTCACTGAAGCCTAAAAAGCAACCTCCACCCACCCGAGCCAGACACAGTAAATCCGAAACAGGTTTTCTCTTCTACTTTCACCAGGTTTAGGGGGCGGCAGGTTTGCACTTCAGATGTTCATTTATGGAGTGCCAGACTACACCTGCTTCGTGCTAGGCTTGTGCTTTGAGGGTGGTTTTGTTTGGCAAATATTATTTTTAAATAACAGCCAGGCTGAGCGTTCCCATTATCTTAAGGCATTTTGTCTTTTAAAACGTGCTGCTTGCCAAGGACCAGAAGTTCCAGCCCAGTGGCTAGTTACCGTCCATCCGATGTGGCTCCACCCTCTTCCCCATCTTACCTTTGCTGGGGGACTAAGAGACAGGCGTCCCTGAAAGCTGCATCTCCATCTCTTCTCCAGGAAAGGGCTGCCACCTGTCAGGGACTCTGCTCCCCAGCCGGCCCCTGCAGCGTAAGCAAATGACCCCATGAGACTACTAAACACAGCAAACGCCTCATCAGTCACTTTGGAAGATGATGAGAGACCAAGTTATTGTTCTGAAAACTAATAAAAAACAAAAGGTGTCTTTTTCCTCTATATGTGAATGAACTCTGTCTTGGTCTGATCAAACCATTGATGCTGATTGATAAATAATATTAAAATTAAACTCACCATTTTGTAAGCTTAATGAATGAATGGATCTAGTAAATCATCAATGGCTGTTAATGTCATCAAAAGGACAAAAGTTAGCATTTGTCTCCTAGTAGAAGTTATGACGCTATCCATAAAATCTTGTAAAACAAGAACCTGAATCTAGCTAAAGTCTATGGAGTAATTACACTTTACAGGAAATATACGAAACAGAGGGACATATTGATTAATTGTATCTACTGAAGGGATACCGTCACCACAGTCCAAGTGTATGGGACAAATGACCAGTTTTTACCAATGCTGTGCACAAGGTAAGGAAGGCTGGAGAGGGCCCTGATGAGGTGTGGCTGTGGTTTGGCTTCTGATCCAGCTTGCTTCCTATTACTGTGATAAGGACCATGACTGAAAGTGACTTGGGAAGGCAAGAGTTTACCTCACCTCATGGGTTACAGAGGAAAGCCAGGGCAGGGAGTCAAGGCCGGGGTTGCAGCAGGGACCAGGGTGAACACTGGCTTGTTTTCCACAGTTCCTTCAGGTTGCTTTCTTATGTAACCCAGGCCCACCTGCCCAGAGTGGCATCAACCCCAGTGGGCTGGGCCCTCCCACATCAATCATCAATCAAAAAATGCCCCACAGACTTGCCTATAGACCAATCTGATTAAAGCATTTTCTTAATTAAGGTCCCCTTTTCCCAGATGACCACAATTTGCATCAAATTGACAAAACTAACCAGCACAGCTCCTTGTTAGAAAAGCCTTTTAAAAAACTACAGGATTGGCAAGGAAATGTTGGATATTACTAAGAAAATATTGACTTGGGATTGATGATACATTTTGTGATGTGCCTTTTTGGTTGTGAGCCTTAGCTCTTAATGGCTGAACTGAAAAGTGAGTGGGTGGGTGGGTAGACTTTCCTGGGAAGGGAAGAGCAACAGCAACACAGAGGAATAAGTAACATTAAAAATGTTTGGAAAAGCCATAGGGAATTATATTTATGGATACTTAAAATCACACACACACACACACACACACACACACGCACACGCACACGCACACGCACACGCACACACACACACAGAAGCTACACCATTTGGGGTGACAGTCCTTCCCAAAACGAAACCCAAAGACTATTTAACAACTTCTTTGAGTTGTTGCTCAGGGGAGTTCAAGAGACTCCCAAGACAATATAGGCCTTTCAGGTAAGACCCTGTTACTGAAGACGCCACACATTTGGGACACTGGGTTTAGAGGAATCGATCTGGTTCTGACCTTGAAGCCTCCTCACTGAGGACTAGCTCTTACAGTTTCAGAAGGAGCCAAGCAAGCCGCCAACAGAGAAGAGCAATCAATAGTCCTATGCAGCTGTAACACCAGTGAACCCTACAATAACCAGATGGCAAGATACTCTGAAAGGTGTAATAGTGGCACCTAGAACCTGGAGGTAACCAAGAGGCATGTCATTGGACTTAAGGCCTGATCCACAAGAGGGATCCGTGCCTGGGACTATAAATTTAGCCAGCTGCCTGTGGCTGGTAGAGCCATATACCTAGAAGAAACTCGTGACATCCAGTTTCCTAAGTCACTGTTGTCCTAACTGCAATCTAAATACTTATCCTTTTATCCACACATAGTGGGTTCTCACCTCTTATCAAAGAAGTTTTTTTCGTTTTTTGTTTTGCTTTGTTTTTCAGAGACCGTTACGGAAAGCCACAACTGGCCAAAACACAGAGAACAACTGACTATGGGTTGACACACCTACAACACTTAAGACTTGGGGAACGTCATGGAAGAGGGGGTGCAAAGATTGTAAAAACCAGATAACTAAGAGTTACTATGAGAGTCATTTCAAAAGAGAGGCAGAGAGAGAGAGAAAGAGAGAGAGAACACAAAGAAGAGCGAAGGGGAGAGGGGTTGAAGAATATAATTGTGGTGGTTTGATGAGAACAGCCCCTATAGACTCATATGTTTGAATGCTTGGTCCCCAGTAGGTGGAACTGTTTAGGAAGGATTAGGAGGTGTGGTCTTGTTAGAGGAGGTGTGTCACTGGGGGCAGGCTTTGAGGTTTCAAAAGCTCACACTATTCCTAGTTCGTTCTCTCTCTCTCTCTCTCTCTCTCTCTCTCTCTCTCTCTCTCTCTCTCTCTCTCTCGGATCAGATGTAAGCTCTCAGCTACAACTCCAGCACCATACCTACCTACCTGCTACTGTACTTCCCACCATGATGCTCATGAACTATAACCCTCTGCAACTGTAAGCCTCCAATAAACTCTTAATCTATAAACTGTCTTTTGCCATAGTGTCTTATAGCAAAAGAAAAGTTACTAAGACAGTGATCAAGATATGTATGAAATTCTCTAAGAATAAAAATATTGCATAAAAATAGATAAAGGAGCCTTTTGTTCCTTAGCTCTATTTATGGAAATAAGATCAATAAGATGATAACCAGGATCTATTATTATTTTTTCAAAATAATCATGAGGGCCAGAGAATGAACAGGTATATAGAAGAAACAGGACTGTTGTGAACTGTTAAGTATTGAAGTTGGGTAGTGAGGAACTAGAGATCCATTACACAGTTCTCTACAATGTTATATATATTTGAAATTTTCCTTCCTAAAAGTGAAATTAAAATCCTTTACAATTATAATTCCTTCCTTTTTGTCCATATTTTCATATTTGCCATAACATGTTGTTCTGATAGCTTGTGTTTATTATTTCTAATTATAGCCATCAGTTTTTACTCTTCTTTAGTTAGGCATGTAAAAAGCTCGGAGTTTTCTAAGTTGCCAGCCCACCAGACTGGAGGTGTGAACAAAAGGGCCTGCCTATGGTATCCTCACAGGGCTATGACCTTGTATAGCATTTCAGGTGCTCACAGAGGACTGGCGGTTTGCCATGGCCCCATCTGGGAAAGAAGTACTGCTCACCTGGCTCCAGCTGTGGGTACCTCCACTCTGGTTCCATTAGCAGTTGAGGTTAGACAAGCTCCTCAATACCAGGAAGACATTGTGAGTGTGTTCGCAAGGAGAAGGAAAAAATTGGAATTGATTAACTTTGCATGGTGGGGTGATGAATTTTATAATGTCTCCTGTATAATTAATATATAACCCCAAATATTTTTAAGGGGAGTCTTCTGCTTAACGTTTAGACCTCTTTGCTAAGGTCCACTGAGGCAAGGTAAAACCCTTACCTTAGTGAGGTATGTCCACAAGACATCTTCCACACTGGCCCTGCCCAAATAGTCTCTGACCCTTTGTCCTAAGTTATTTTACACGCTACTGACTTCCGGTGTCAATGGTTGCTGTCTTGAGCCCCACACAGTTTTCGAGAGCTCTCATTTCTTCCCCGGTATGCTAAGTCCAGCCATCCCAGAGCTGCTCCCGCATCATGGGAGTGAGCTCCTCCCTGGCCATCTGTTCCTGGTGTTCCCCATCCTGAGAGTCATCTTCCTCCTGTATGACTCTCCCTCTGTCTCTCCAGCTGAGCCTCCTCTCTGGGCAGAATTGTAGGTCAGGAGAATGAGGTTTCTATCCTGTGAGGAATTCTTGTCGGAACAGCAGTTTGTGCACGGCGCAGCCTATGAAAAGATTACTCCTTTGAACCCCCTCCATAGTGGCTTGTCTGAAAACGTCCAGAGCAGGGTCTGTCTGCCTGTGTCCTCTCTTCAGGACTGTTCCAGCTCACAGAGGAGTCACCTGTGGTATTGTCACACTTTTTGGTAGAGAAGCACAAACTATTTACCTAAGCCGAATTTAGGGAGGAAAGCTTTCTATTTAGGTCTCCAAATAGTTTTTGGGATGCGATCAGATTCAACAGCTTGTACCATCTTCATTTATAAAAGTTTCTAAACACAGTAATAAAAGCCAGCACTTACATAGTTCGCTACTGTTCGAAGCATCTCCCGTGAGTCCATCATTAAGGTAGTTCTGGTGTTTTCCTTGTTTGGTGAAACAAGCAGAGAGTGTAGGTACAAGTGAGGCTATGAGCCTCCGCAGACTGGCCGGAGGGAGGGCCAGTTCCCCTAGCTGCTGTCTGTCTGCTGGTTCTCTCACTGAGGACTCTATTGAGAAGAAAAGAGAGACAGCATCATAATTCATGGTAGGATTTGGGGGTGCAGCAGCTTAGTGGGAATAACATGGGTGAATGAGGAAGCCTGGGGTTTGGAGAGAGAGAAGCATAACACCTAACATTACCACTTCAAGGCATTACTGGAAAGATCCATCCGGCAGCGCCATCAAGAAAAGTGCTGTGTGGGAAACAGTGCTAAGCACTCCATTTTTGGATGAGATTAGGAGGAATTCATTTTGGCCTCTGAAGGTAATAAATGCCCATTTATCATTTCAGGGCACTCTGTTTTCATGAATCTTATAAACGCCCCACTTGGAAATGCTAAGATCAGGCTTAAGGACAGCTGAGCCCCACTAGACATCAAGACAACCCATGGCTTTGGTTGCATCTTTCAACATGACCAATCCACAGTAAGTACCTTCGGAACCTGCTCTCTGGATCTAGAATGATGCTGCTGGTGTCTCACGAGGTGAAGTTCTGCTCCTTCAGGCAATGGAAGCAAACCTCGGAATAGGACTAGGAAATGCTAAGGGTGATAATAAAATGAGAATTGCAAGGAAATTTAGAAATCATAAGAGGGTTTCTAAAAGCAGGCTTTATGACACCAGGCAAAGGCCTCTTAAAGGAGAATTGCTTTCAGTTCCCGAAACCCAAGGTGCCATATGGATGAACCATTTAATCTTACCAAGTGTCAGTGTGGTAAGTCACCAGGCGGCAATTTATTTTGTGTCTGGCAACTCGCTGGTAAACAATACCAAGATAAAAATAACATTCCGTCTATTACACTATGCTCTCCCAGCCCCCTGAGCTGTGTGCCTGGCTCCTCAGTCATCAGAAGCATGATGACGCATGAGTGCACTCTGCCACTGCAGTGTTCTGTGACTACCCTCCTCAACATGGCACAATGCAAGATCGCATGGCTAGGTGGTCAGCTAGATGGATCTGCTGATCTCGCTGGGATCGCCCTTCACTGTGGGCTTTGTTGTAGAGCTGACAGCTGATCTAGGTGAGAACAGACTTTAGTCAATGGGTCTCTCTGTTCATCCGATGGTCTAGACTGATCACTCTCTGCTGGTGATACGGCTGGAGTAAGAGCCAGACAAAAAGTCACAGGTACCTCTCATTCTTCTGCTGGTGACATGTCTACTGTCATCCCATTGGCCAAAACAAGTCACGTGGCTGACCACCCAATCAAGGGTTTGGAAAATGCAGCACACACTTCCTTTTGACGGGAGAAGCTGCAATGCCACGTGACAAAGCAGGTAGGTAATAAGAGTGGTGTTTACCCCTTCAAGGAAATCTGATAGAGCTACTAATCCACTTCATCCACCACAGTGTTCTTTATAAGCAAGACCAATGTGTAGGTTCAGTGATTAGACTGTGAGCTCTGAGAGTTTCATTTTCACCAAAGGAAGTTTGGAGTCTCTGCTGAGATGACCGTGTAGCTAGAGATGGAGCTGGAGCACTCCGACCGCTGTGCAAGTGTACTGGAGGGCAGGGGTGTGAAAGGCAGATGCAATTTGTCCCACACTGGTCAGAATCAGACCCTGTTAGTTTCAGAAACATAACTCCAGCCTTCTTTGACCCCATTGATTAGAAAGTTCTGTTTGTTCGGTTCAAAAATCCTGCTTCCTTAAGAGAACAAACTAACCCAGCTTGCACTTTTTAGGAAACATCTGGGGTAACTGGGATTCCCCCAGAAACACCCACACTTTCAGATCAATTGTTGAGAAACAGAACTGCACATCCGATGGCTGTTCTGTCTGAAGCTCTTGAGTCATTTTGTAAATGTCACACTGTGATGAGTACTATTACCGGTGCTTGGCAGGGAGGAGAAAACCAAAGGCTTAGGGGGAGCGGGCCTACGAAAGCAAATCTGGGCGTCGGGAATTACCTAGTGAGTGTGGGTGGTCCAAGTAGCCCACCTCTAACCCTGGAATAATCCAAGCAGAGGAAGTGGGCAGACTCAGCTCTGAGCACCCCAGGTAACTGCTACTGTGTATGGCTTGCTGGGTCTCAGACTGCGAGAAGCATTTCAAGTTTAGAGTTTTCCCTTGGGGAGCAAGTGGAGCAGGCAAATGGGACCTGCCACTTAGAAGCTCCTCTCACTGGCTCCATAGCAGACCACAGAAGCCCTCAGGAAGCCTTTTTCAGTTGGGGAAACTGAGGCCAGGGAAAAGCACCACACAGAGAGGTACCAGAGCCCAAGAACGATCTACTGCAGACTGGCTGCCTCGGGATTGTCACTGGCTCCTCATTCCCCATGCACAGACCTGTGTCCCCCAAATGTTAAGTTTTTACTGATCCGTGCATACTACTTTCCCTTTCTAACTGTATTGTTGTCCAGAGACACAAGAATCAGCCTCGGATTCTACAGGATGAGACAGGGCCAAGGATGTGCAGGAGGGACCAAAGATGCCCAGGAAGGGACAGCCAAGGTCTCCATCCTGCATCTCCCACCAGGAGATATTAGGCATGGCACACAGCTGTTGGCCATCTTGCAGGATGTTTATGTCTCCTAGGTCTCCATTCCTATTCAGACACCAGTGGTATTAGAAGGGCCTCCACAAACAGACAAAACTCCTGGGGGGTTGGGAGGTGTCCCTGCCTCTGGCTGAGGCCTACTGTGTGCCAGTGAAGCTATGGGTTGGTGTCATTGCCCAAGATAAGCCTGCCTAAGACGTAGACTGACCCAGACTCCTCAGTTTGCTCAGGTGACCCCCAATTTCCCACCCCCCAATCTTGAGAATGGAGGTATGGTGAGACCCCTTTGAATAGGAAGGGGTCTCACCCTCTTAGCTGTCCTTGGCTTTCCTCCTCACCACCCCAAGGCTCCTAAGTCTCCAAGAAGCCCCTGGCTACCTGGAGGAGATATCCAGTCAGGAACAAGGGTACCTTTTATTATTGTGACACAGATAACAGAACCACAGCAAAGAATCACATGCAGTGATTCTCAGTACATCACGGCAACAGAAAGTGCAGTGATGCACACTGCTAAGAGCTGCAGCTTTTTGTTTTTTCTGGTCAGCAGAAGGTCCTTACCTCCCCCATAAAGAACTTGCCCCCCCCCACACACACCCAAATTCACATGTTCAAGTCTTTCCATTCACCCTAAATGGTGAGGAAAAGGAGACAAACCAAGCCCTTGGACGGGTCCCTGACTGGCCAGTGGGGAAGAATAGCAACCTTGTGGTTCCCTTGCCCTCCAGCACAGCACAGCACTGTATAACACTGCACAGCACAGCATAGCACTGCACAGCACAACACTGAACTGCACAGCACAGCACAGCACAGCACTGCACAGCACAGCACTGCACAGCACAGCACTGCACAGCACTGCACAGCACTGTACAACACTGCACTGCACAGCACAGCACTGCACAGCATAGCACAGCACTGCACAGCACAGTACAACACTGCACTGCACAGCACAACACTGCACGGCACTGCACTGCACAGCATAGCACTGCACAGCAGAGCACGGCACAGCAGAGCACTGTGCAGCACTGCACAACACTGCACAGCATAGCACTGCACAGCATAGCACTGCAGCTTCCTGTGCCTTGGCTTGCCCTCCCTTGACCCAGGGCAGAGGGCACACTGTTCTCAGGGCTAACTCTTCCCCGTTGCTCCTCCTCTCCACGTAGGCCTGCCATTGAAGGAGGGATTTCTGAAGTTGAGATTATCTCCCAACAAGTAGACGAAGAAACCAAGAGCATTGCTCCCGTGCAGCTGGTGAACTTTGCCTATCGGGACCTGCCCCTGGCTGCTGTGGACCTCTCCACGGGGGGCTCACAGCTCCTGTCGAATTTGGACGAAGAGTACCAAAGAGAAGGGTAGGTTCTGGCGTGGCTGAGAGCCTCTTGCATAACTCCCTGTGTTTCCATGGGTACCTCCCAAGAGGCCATAGCAGAGGTGAGATACACTGAGCAGAAGAGGCCAGAAGTTGACATTAGGTCACTCAGACTCCATTTCCTCAGAAAAAGACCTGGGGTACAGGAAATGCTGCTGGACAACCTCTTAACATCTTTTGTGATGTTTGCTTAGAACTTAGGTAACAATAAGATTTGTCTTCAGACTGAAATGATCCTTAATGTTCTCTGGATACCCCACAGGGGTTAGGAATGTGCCCAAGGTCACACAGCCCATATGGGATGAACTTGGACTGCACTTGGCTCTGCACACAGTGGCACTACCTCTCTCCCTGTGTGGGTGTGTGTGGGGGGGCATGTGGAGCCTGCAGGGATGCTCTTTCTTGAACTCCTATATTACTTGTCAATCAGATCAGTGGGCGTGTTTCTCACTTGACTTTTCATTAGCCTGGTCTCTCTTACAAATCCACTCTTTAAAGGAATGGTGTGATGCTCTAGCTGGATGGTGGCCAGGGAGATAAGAATTTGATCTCCTGTTTTTCAGGGGTAGGGGGTTGGAATGTTGAAAGCCACAGAAGGGCAGAAATACATCCTCAGGTCAGACAGTAGCAAAGACTTCTAACTCTCACCTAAGCTTTCTCCAGTTCCATCCTGTGGCTTTTAGACACAGAATTGTAAACACTGGTCAGCACCAAAGAGCCAGTTCTGGGCAATGCTCCCAGGTGCCTGTAACCATTTTAGAACATGCTGGCTGCTCTAAACACAAAAGGAAGGGTTGCCATGCATTTTAGAAGCAAAGGAAAAAGGCATAGCTAAGTTAAATTTGCAGAGCCAGGATTCCCTGTTTGGTTCCTGAAGGGATACCCCCTTCCTAAGATAAATTGCCAAACAACTGGGAAGCTGTACTCCTGCTTCTGAAAAAATGACACCCCAGTGGCTTTCTCCGAAAATATAATTTTTCCAAGTATTGTAAACACAGCTAGCAGGACCCCAGAGGAAAATCTCCGAAGGGGTTGGGGAGAGGCCTTAGTGGGAAAGAGCGCGTGTTCTGTAAGCAGGAGGATGTGAGCTGGAATCCCCAGCAAACAGATGGACGTGGATGCATGTGCCTGTAACCTCAGGGGGTAGAGAAAGGCAGATCCAGAGAGCTCACTGACCAGACAGCTTAGCCAAAATGGTGAGCTTCTGGTTAGTGGGAGACCCTGTCTTAAGGCAAAAAGGCAGAGACCCACAGAAGGTGCCTGGAGCCCTGCTCTGGCTTCCGCAGGTACACACACCCTCACATTCACACGCGTGTGCCGTGCATGGAAGGAAGGAAGCAGGGAAGGGAGGATGGACATTTCTGAGGCGTGCCTGGAAGAGGCAGTATCGACCTGAGCAACCAAAAGCAGACTAAAGAGCCTGCTGCTCTCCTTGGTCTCCTGTGGCTTAAAGCCTGAGTCAAATCCTGAAAGGCCCAGAACTGGGGCCAGCTGTGTGGACACCCGGCCTGTGCAGCAGCGCCAGTCGGTGCTCAACGGGACCACAGGGCTGAGTTCACGGCTCTGCTCCTGCCCTCTCTGAAGTTCAGTTCTGTGGACTGCAGTCTACCAGCCGGAGGGTCTTCCATGAGCACCCAGAGAGTCACGGTGTTCCTGCTCTCTGGTGGTCAAATGTGGTATTACAACCTCCGGAAATAGCCAGGAACATGTGCTGGCTCTTCCACCCTGGCCCTTCTACCCTGGCCTGATTTTTATCAGGCCCAGTTCAAGTGCATATAGTTAAATGGCATGGAAAGAGATAGGAAAACCTTTAAGAGCTCTGGTTCAGAATCCACAACTGCTCCTGTCACTGTATAGTGAGTGGGTGTGCCCCACGCGGGTGGACCACACCACAGGGTGTGCCTCATTTCCAGACTTACCCCTGATATGTTTGCCCCCTCCCCAGGTTGTCAGAGACCCCCTTCAACCAGTTTGTTTCTGAATTGGCTGTCTGCAAGGTCTCTCCCGGCCAGGCAGAGGCCTTTGATTTGATTTGGCTCTCCAAGTGTGTTCCCCACCCCCACCCCACGCTGCTCTTGTTATGCAAAGAGGAAGCCACAGGGAGATGATGTGCTGAGAGCCCTCAGTGGGACCCCTGTGGCAGCCAGACTGCATCCTGGGAAGGAAGAGCCCTGCCGGAACAGAAGCTGGGGGAAGGACCAAGTAAGAGCAGGCTGTGAAGGAGCCAGGCTGTTCCTGGCCCTTGCTTCATTTCCCAGGGCTTTCCCACCATTTTCAACCCGGCTCTTCCTGAAGCAATGCAATCCAAGAGTACAGTCCAAGTTTACGTGCTCAGGGTTACTTTCGTCTGTAAGACCTCTTCCCGCTGAGGGAAGCACTTTGGACAGGAATAGATCTTTCCTGTAGGAAACCAAGGGACCTTAGGGACCCTAATACAAAGCTGCGGTGACTCATCTGCCCTACATGTGTGTCCCCGGAGTGTGGTGACTGTAGATGCTTTCCAGCTTCCCATACTCCGGGACTGTCAGGGCTGGAGAGCTCAGTGAATGCTTGAGAACTCTAACAGCAGGAAGAGTGTGGTCAGGTCACAAGGTACCAGAGGAGAGCAGTGCTATCCCTTCTTGAGCAGATCTCACTGCCACTGTCCCCAGAGTGCTCCCAATAGTGACACTATACACACTGGACAGCCCTTTCCCCTCCCCCAGCCTTTGGTGCCACTGTTCTACCCCATCCTCAAATATGACCGTTCCAGGCATCTAGTGTAAGTGAAAACATACAATATTTGTGTTTTTATGAATGGCTTGCTTCAATAAGAATACTGTCCTCAGGGTTCACCCAAGGTGTAACATGGGCCAGAGTTTCCTTTCTTGTAACCCAAATAATATTCATTATATATTCTACGTGTTCTGCTCACGTTATGGACACTCGGGTGGTGTCCGCATTTTACCTATCGTGGATAGTGCTGCTATAAACATATATCTACGAGACCCTGCCTTCGGGTCTCTGAGGTGTATACCCACAAGCGCACTTTCTGAACCACGCTCTACAAGGCCTCAGGGCATTAGCAGCAGAACTACCATTGTTCCCAGAAGCTGTGACATTTTACACTCCCGCCAACAGTGTGTCCTGAATGTTCCATTGTCCCATGTCCGTTCCAGTCCTTGCTGTTCACCATTTTGAGGAGTAGCCGTCCTAAGAGTGTGAGGTATGATGTGATTTGAGAATTTTAAAGTGTGCGATCCTGTTTGAGCACAAGAGTCCTGTGAGGTAAAATGGGCCATCATCATAACTCATACTGAGCCCCAGGCACAGGTGAGGGGCCAGCCTCGACTTGCTGAGAAGTCTGTGTTTCAAGCTTTTGTTACTGTAACAAATACCCCAGAAATACCTAGAAACACCTGCATAGACAGCCAGAGGTGTGCTCTACTAAAGAATATCCTAGACATCTCGACATCCAATCATGAAAACAGTCACAATCAACCATCATCTGGCCTTTGTCCAAAGACACTTGCCTGCCACCGTCCATGCTGTCTGTCGCCTGTGACAGTCAGCTCTACTGTCAGGAAGCTTGGGGTTCAGAGGGGAAAATCAGGCTACTGTACAGGCTGGCGCCGCCTCAGACTCCAGGTCTCCACCGAGCCTCACCCTGACTCTCAGGCGTGTTTGGCAGCCCTCATTGGCGGTGTCTCGTGGCTTCCGTTTTCTCCAGTCCTTTCCTGAAGACGACATTCTCTCCCACAGCCCCATGAAAGTACAGCAGCCCTAGATGGAATGCAGTGCACCCCCAGACTCTTCCTTCTTCCCTTCCAGCCTGGACTCATCTTCTGAGCTCAGGTTCCATGGCTTTCTTCCTCCCAGGAACCTCACTCCTTCGGCACAGCCTCCCCACGTCCAGTGTCCCACCCTCCTGTCTCCTCACCCCCACTCTCCACCCTGACCCCCGTTGGCCCCCGTCACTCCCCCTCCCTCTCCGCAATCAAACTTCTTGCAAACTTCCTGCAAGCCTGCTGCACTCCTCAGTCTACTACAGTCTGGCTGCGGCCTCTTCCATGCCCCGCCACTCTTCTCAATGGTGCCTAAGCTTGATGCCCAACTTGACTGGATGTAAGATCACCTAGGAAACACGTCTCTGGGAGCGTCTGTGAGGATGCTCCCAGAGAAGTTTAACAAAAGAGGTAAGATCTACCCTTACTCTAAGGGACACCACCCCCATAGGCCCTAAACTGAACAGAAAGGGAAGGGAGGAAGCCAGCTGAGCTGTGTTCCTCACCCTGCTCCCTGACTGCAGACACAACGTGATCAGATGTCCCCCGCTCCCACTGCCATAGCTTTTCCACCATGATGTAGTATATATCCCTTTGACCAGTGAACCAAAACAAGTCCTCTCCTCTTAAAGCTCCCTTTGTCAAACATTTGCTCTCAGGGACAAAAATAAGTAACACGGGCATCCACATCCCCTTGCTGCTGAAAGCCTTACATTGCCTCCTGCTTGCCATGGTATCCTGATGCCCACTACCACAAACATCTCTCCCTCTGCCACTGTGCCTTCTGAGCCTTTGCCAGACAGATAACAGTTATCATCTGCTTGTTCTTTAACTGCTGGAGTACACACACACACACACACACACACACACACACACACACACACACACACACACTTTCACTACCCTTTTTCTGCACGCTGGCTCGTTTTATCCATCTCTGTAAACTTTTAGCTAGTAATGATCAAAGCCATGTGTCTGGCCTCGATCTCCCTTTCAAACTCCTAAGTTCTTTCTGGACATCTTCTTGGGGATCCCCAAATGCCTTTGAACCCTGACAAATGTCAATGGAATGATCTGGTCTTCTTGTTCTGAGTTAGCTGCATATTTGAAAGGGGGAAATGTCCTCATCTATACCCAGGTCATTTTCTTTTATAGCCTTTTTGGTGATGACACTCAAATTCAACCTGGGGAGCCACCACCTGCCCATTACCGCCATCTC